GATTTGATGAGCCCAATTCTTGCAGCCCCTCATATTTAAAAAGCACTAAATTCCTTCATGGTGACATCTGCTCCTCATGACTAGCAGAAACCTTCTGCAAAAATATGTGCTTAATTGCATGTACTCTGCCTTCACCAAAATCACATATATACTGATCTTTCCCCTCTACCTCTTTGGATCAATATCTCAGAGTGATCTGAGATGCTGTCTCCCAGGATATAGTCCTCACTTGCCCCAAATAAAACTTAACTTGAAACTCCTATATTTTGCAATTTCTGAAGTTGGCAATATCAAGAAAATGAGTCCAGAGGAAATGGAAAAAAATATTATGATTATGTATGGCAGCTAACTGGATTGTTTGTGATTACATTATGAAAGAACCCCTCCCCTGGAAATATTAAAGGAAAAATTTTTCAGGAAGCTGGATATATTTTAAAAATATATGGAAATAGAAACCATTGAAATTTGAGTTATTGTTATTGTTAACTCTTATTAATACCCACAGGCTGAAGGTGAAGTCTAAGAAAGTTTGTGTAATACATAGGAAATTTTTCATTCATTAAGATTTTGCCTTATACATTTATTTCTTCTCTTACTCAAGATTTATTATTCCAGTCATATTCTTAATTCCCTTTTTTCTGTCTTCTCTATGAAACGTGTCTATTGATGATTTCCTATTGTCTTCACTATTTTGAATGCCTTTCTTTTCCCTAACTCCTTTTCCCATAGCCTATAAACATGTTTAAATATTTTCCATTAAAAAGAAACTATCTTACTTTGTGGAAGTAGTTGTTAAAACAATGGGTTGGAGTTTAGCACCAGTATTTACTAGCTATGTGTCCTTGGGCAAAATTTTAAAGGCCTCTGTACCATTCCCTTACCTGTAAAAATGAAATAATACTAGTTCTCACTTTGTGAGATTATTATGAGAGTTAAAGGGTGACTAATAAAGCTCTTAGAACAGTGCTTGACAGATAGTAAATGCTATATGTGTTTACTAAATAAAACTTAGTTAATTAATTAATCCTCAATTTATGGTTTGTTAGAACTCTGCTGACACAGAATAAGGAAATGGCAACCCACTCTAGTATTCTTGCCTGGAGAATCCCATGGACAGAGGACCCTGGTGAGCTACAGTTCATAGGGTAGCAAAGAGTCAGAAACAACTGAGCTACTAACACACATAGAACTCTGCTGAAGGTTAAAAAAAAAACAAAACTCTTAATTACTAAATTTAATGTATTATTTACTTCTTCACTAATTTGATCTTCCAGCAATGCTTGACCCAGTTCAGTTAAGTTCAGTCACTCAGTTGTCTCTGACTCTTTGCAACCCCATGGACTGCAGCATGTCAGGCCTCCCTGTCCATCACCAACTCCCAGAGTTTACTCAAACTCATGTCCACTGAGTCGGTAATGCCATCCAACCATGTCATCCTCTGTCGTCCCATTCTCTTCCTGCCTTCAATCTTTCCCAGCATCAGGGTCTTTTCAAATGAGTCAGTTCTTTGCATCAGGTGGCCAAAGTATTGGAGTTTCAGCTTCAACATCAGTCCTTCCAATGAACACCGAGGACTGATCTCCTTTAGGATGGACTGGTTGGATCTCCTTGTAGTCCAAGGGACTCTCAAGAGTNGAAGGAGGTCACCATTATCTCCATTACCTCCCCATAGTTTGGCCCCAGGTAAATAACAGGGAGGGAACACATCCCCACCGACCAACAGAAAATTGGATTAAAGATTTATGAACATGGCCTTACCCATCAGAACAAGACCCAATTTCCCCCTCAGTCAGTCTCTCCCATCAGGAAGCTTCCATAAGCCTCTTATCCTTCTCCATCAGAGGGCAGACAGACTGAAAACCACAATCACAGGAAACTAACCAGTCTAATCACATGGACCACAGCCTTGTCTAACTCAATGAAACTATGAGCCATGCAGTGTAGGGCCACCCAAGATGGACAGGTCATGGTGGAGAGTTCTGACCAAACGTGGTCCACTGGAGAAGGGAATGGCAAACCACTTCAGTATTCTTGCCTTGAGAACCCCATGAACAGTATGAAAAGGCAAAAAAGATAGAACACTTGACCCAGTGGAGTACTAAATTCTTCTTGGAATTCTCCCTTTATTTCCTCAACACCACTTTCCTGGTTTTTCCTATAACTCTCTGATACTTTCTATTCGATTTCTTTTGTAATTTCCATTGGGTTCTGTCTTTAATCCTCTTCCCTTATTGCTCTATAACTCAAATATGATAGGAAAAAATTGTTTCAAATCTTTCACATAATAAAAAATGTCCCTCCATAATCTAATCTCTGCTAATTTCTTCAGATCCATCTTTCAGTACATCACCACAATGAATGGCTTGCACTTTCCAGAGTGTGCTGGTAGTGCTGATTCCTCTGCCAAGCAATATCCTTCCCAACCCTACAATTATTCCTTAATTTTCAAGTCTTAATTAATTTTTTGATATATTAAGTGAATTTTCTCCTTTAAGTCATATATATATATATATATATATATATATACATATATATGTTTTGTAGCTACCAGTGTCCCCAGAGCACAATGCTGTGAGGAGCTCAATATTTGTTGTATAGACTGAATTATAGCACTTAAATTAATATTTTGCATGTATTTATTTTTCACAAGCAACTGTATATGTCTTTAGAAAAAGATTAGCTTATTGGGACATCCCTGGTGGTCCAGCAGTTAAGACTCTGCACTTGCACTTTAGGTGCACAAGTTCAATCCCCTCTCTTCGGTCAGGAGTTCCTCAATGCCACGAAGTGTTGCAAAAGGAAAAAAAAAAGAGAGAGAGAGAGAGACTGACTTACAGTCTTCAGAACTCTGGCCATAAGCACTCAATTACCTTTTAAAATCTCTTCAGACATTTATGTTGTGATTTCTGTAACAACTGGAACAAATTTTCAGCTCTTAAAAATTATTAATTTGCTTTTTATTTCCCCTGAAGAACCAGTTAGTTGCACGGGATTCCACTAACATTTAGAAGTGGTGTATACAGAGCTTTATTAGGCAATAAGTGTGACATTTCCATTTTTCTTAAGAGAAGTCATGAACAAACATTTAGGGAAGTCACAAAAAAGTATATGTTACTATATACCTCTGACAGTGAAAGCTGCTCAGTTGTGTCTGACTCTTTGCAACCCCATGGACTATATAGTCCATGGAATTCTCCATGGCATAATTCTGGAGTGGGTAGCCTTTCCCTTCTCTGGGGGATATTCCCAACCCAGAGATAGAACCCAGGTCTCCCGCATTGTGGGTGGATTTACCTGCTAAGCCACCAGGGAAGCCCACTGGATGAGTCTTAACTGATAGATTTATGGTAATTCTTTGAATTTGAGAGAAACAGAACCAGTCCATCACGAATGTAACACTGTATTCTACAGAAATGCCAGCTGCAAAGAGGAGGAATGGTGTTCTTCTGAGAGCTATAAAAAACAAGGATCAAGCAGTCTGTTTCACACGGACACACACACACATACATACATACAATGTAGCCAACTGAGTATGCACAGGAGAAGAAGCAATTTTTAGAAAGAGCGGGAAAGAAATGGGCCAATCTTCCTCTTTTGTTTTTTTTTTTCTTGGTGAGCCAAGTTTCTGATTGGAGGAGACCTGGGAGAGTAGATGCCAAGCTCCACCCGCTGGGTCTTAGGGACGCAAAGCGACAGTGATTGGAGGACGAGTTTTGTCGGAACCCGAGTGAACAGTACAGGGGGCTCCATGCTAGTTCGGAGTGTGTCGCAGTCACGCTGAGGCGACAGCTTCTATTTCCAAACGAATATTTTCTGGAAAGGAGATGACAGACACCGACAAAGAGGGAAAGATGGACGTTCTAGATATGTCTCTAGGTATGTATCAATAGATCCCGGTTGTGAAGGGCAGGTTGGAAGCCTGGCTGTGAGGCACGCCCTCAGACAGGGAGGCTTTCCCCTAGCTAGCGCCCACCGCCGTGAGAAAAAAAAGAGCGATCCGAACCCCCACCCCCACCCCCAGGCCCTTGCCTTTCCTGTCTGTTCCCATTTTCCCGCTTCTCCAGCCCTGGCCTCTTAGATGGAAAACTGGCCAAAGCTGACAGAAATTGCGTAGGGATTGCTGGAAGGGGTCTGATGTGGAAAATAAAAAGCCGGCTATATCCATATATTATATCATTCAAGGACTTCCCGGGTGGCTCAGACGGTAAAGTATCAAAGTATCTGTTTACCATGCGGGAGACCTGGGTTCGGTCCCTGGGTCGGGAAGATTCCCTGTAGAAGGAAACAGCCACCCACTCCAGTATTCTTGCCTAGAAAATCCCATGGACGAAGGAGCTTGGTGCAGGCTACTGTCCGTGGGGTTGCAAAGAGTCGGGCATGACTGAACGACTTCCTTTCCCCTATCATTCAAAGGAATGGTAGCAAGTTACCTTTTTCACACTCATGTGCAGTTAGTCACCCTTGCTCTTCACAGTCCCAGCGCGTGTCACAAAGGGTGAAGTAACAAGCCTAAGGCTAGTTTTTGAGGAGTGGTGGTCCGGCAGCCAGACTGGGCAAAGGGATGGTTTATTTGGTTGCCTATTTTTTTGATTGATACCTGTTCGGTCTAGACCGCCCTTCACTTCTGCTGGTGCCCTCCAGTCTCTCGCGGCTTCCCTAGTAGCTAATTTGGTAGGGTCCTCCTGTAATGCAGGAGACCACAGTTCAATTCCTGGGTCGGGAAGATCCCCTGGAGAGGGGAAAGGCTACCCACTCCAGTATTCTGACCTGGAGAATTCCATGGACTGTATAGTCCTGGGTAAAGTGTCAGACACGACTGAGTGACTTTCACTTTCACTTTTCCAGTCTCTCACCTCGGACCTCTACTGTCTCACAGCCACTTAAAAATTGGAGGTGAGAGGGGGAGGGAGGGAGGACGGACTGCATAAGTGAAGCAGGGGGAAGGGGGGCGAGAGGTGGTGGTGAGGCAGCACAGAGCAGAGGAAGGGAAAACCTTAGTCATGGCGGGGAGCAGAAGGAGCAACAAAACATCAGCGACTTTAGAAAAGAGAAGTAGAGGAACATGGCAGAGAGGTCTAACTGGATGTGGAGGCGAGGAGCAAGGAGGAACGAACCTGGGGATGGGAAGAACAGTAAGAAGAGCTTTCATCTCAGAAATGAGAGTGGGCGAGCAAAGCAGGGAGGGCAGAACTTTGAAATGGAAGGGCACAGAGCAAGGAGGGCTGATATTATAAGTGAAGAGAGAGAGGAAGGACAGACATCAGAATTGAGGAGGAAGGAGCATCTAGACCTAAAATATGAGACAAGGAGCAATAGTAAGGGCAATCATTAGAAGTGGAGAGAAAAAAGCGGAGAGAGAGAGGAAAAACAAAACAAAACAAAACAAAACATAACAGTGGGAAGAGCCAGAGCCAGGAGCAAAGACCTTAGGAAAGAGAGGAAGTGCAAGTGGGGAGAGCAGACCTCAGAAATGAGCAGAGCATTGCAGCCAGGGAGGGCCTCAGAAATGGTAGGGAGCAGGTGGAGTAAACCATAGAAATGAGGGTAAGAGACCAGAGCAGGGAGGGTGGACTTTTGAAAATGAAAGTGGACTCTCTTTTTAGTGTTGAGCTGTAAGAGTTCTTTATGTTGTGGACACTGGAACCTTCTCAGATATATGATTTAAAAATATTTTCTCCTATTTTGTGGTTGTTTTTTCATTTTCTTGACTATCCTTTGAAGCACAAAAGTTTTTAATTTTGACGAAGTACAATTTATTTTTTTTCTTCTGTTGCTCATGCTTTGCTATCATATCTAAGAAATTATGGTAAAGAGTTTTCTAGTTTCCACTTTGATTCATATTTTATACTCACATCATTGATTCATATTGAGTTAAATTTTTGCAGATAGTGTGAAGTAGAATCTAACTTCTCTTAAATTCTTTTGCCTGTGAATATCCAGTTGTTGCAACATCATTTGTCATAAAAACTATTCTTTCTCCTATTAAATGGTCTTTCTTAACTTCATTTTTGGATAGTTCATTGCTTTCCTAACTTCATTTTTGGGTAGTTCATTGCTAGGGTATAAAAACATAATTTATTGCTACCCAATAAATTATTGGGTAAATCTTCATCATTTCTTATTGTGGTGTGCAGGAGCTATTCTTCATTGCGGTGCAACAGGCTTCTCATTGTGGTGACTTCTCTTGCTGATCACAGGGTCTAGGCATTCAGATGGATTTCAGTAACTGCAGCATGTGGGCTCAGTAGTTGCAGCTCCCAGGCTCTAAGGCAGGAGTTTAGTAGCTGTGGCACAGGCGCTTAGTTACTCTGTGTCATATGGAATCTTCTCAGACCAGGGATTAAACCAGTGTCCCTTGCTTTGCAAATGAATTCTTAACCACTGGGCCACCAGGGAAGCCCCAGGCAAAACTTTTGGTTAGTCATTTAAGGCCCTACTAGTTTGAAGCCAGAAAAATACATCATAAAGAGCAAATATATGTTGTTTCTATGAAAGTGTAAAGTGAAAGTGTTAGTCACTCAGTCGTTTCCAACTCTTTGCGACCCCATGGACTGTAGCTGGTGAGAAATCTATGCTTTTCCAATAAATTTCCCCATGCTTTTATTAAAGTGAAAAGATTACTTTTAACAATATATATCTTTGGATAGCTACACATATTCATTAGAAAAGCAATTTTATATTATTTGTATATTACATATATAATTTTATATTATTTATGGGGGCTTCTCTGGTGGCTCAGATGGTAAAAAAATCTGCCTGCAATGTGGAAGACTCAGGTTCCATCCTTGGTTGGGAAGATCCCTGGAGAAGAGAATGGTTACCCACTCCAGTATTCTTTCCTGGAGAAGTGCATGGCCGGAGGAGCCTGGCGGGCTACAGTCCATGGGGTCTCAAAGAGTCAGACATGACTGAAAAGCTATTTTATATTATTTGTATAATACATATATGATTTCATATTATTTATACACATATAAATATATAATTTACATTGAATGCACAGATTTTACTTCCATTGTAATCAAATAGGAAAAGGCTCTACAAATTTATTTTCTTTTTTTTTTTGTCACTAGTAAACATTCTCAAAAGGCATTATAAGTGTTTTTTCAAGAAATAAAAGGCAAAAGTAAGACCAAAATTGGAACTGGCAACAGCAAGAACTTACTGGGAACTGCACCCACCTTGTTCATCACTTCTATCTAAATGAGACTAAGGCAAATGGTTCAGTAGTTAGAAAAAGAGGAACCCTTTTTGCTTGTTAGATATTTTATATCATAGATCCATAAATGTTTATAAGGTATCCACTCTGTATTAAGCACTATCTAGACACTTGGTGTACTGATAAATAAACATGGTTTCATCTCAAGTATTTAATAATGTGGTTGGAGAGGCAGATAAATAAATACATGCAGTTATATGTAGTTTTAAGTGTTCCCAAAGTATTACGTGTTGTCAGAGTCTCTGAGAAATTGAGAGGAACCTTAGATCACTTACATTTTTTGAGGTTTCTGATATTTTAACTATTTAAAAAATGACAAAACAATGTTTACAAAAATTGGGGTAGATTTTAAATGTTTATAAATAATAAAATAGTGCTTTCAACGTATTCTAAAACACCAGACAGTATAGTTAGGCTTTTCACAAGAAAATCAATTCTTTAATTTTAATAAAAATTTAATTATTCATATGGCATCTCAAGCAGCATGATCTATTTCAAACAGTATGTATGAGGAATGTTGTTTCTTCAACCCTGATAGTATACTTCTGAGACTAAGTATATCTCACTTAGATCAGGAATTCAAATTTGAGGCTCTTTGGTGAGTCCTGGACCAAATGGTTCTCCTTGGGAGACTGGATTCTCCAGATGGATTCAGTGGAGAATGTCATCACATGGAGTAGCAAGAACAAAGCACCATGTCTCTGTAATGATATATCTTGAGAACTGAGGCAAAGGATGCCATCTTCATAACCTCACAGACTATGTTGAAAGGATCCTTACACATCTTACCCAGGCTCAAAAACATTTGTTTTCTCTTCTTTATGGACAGGCTGAGCAGCAATTGAATCTCATCTCTAAATCATAGCTGATAAGATATATATTTTTTAATTTTAAAAATAATTTTATTTATTTATTTTTTGGCTGTGATGAGTCTTCATTGCTGTGTGGGTTTTTCTCTGGTTGCAGTGTGCAGGGGCTACTCTCTAGCTGTGGTGCTTGGGCTTCTCATTGCGTTAGTTTCTCTTGTTGCTGAGCAAAGGCTCTAGGGCACATGGGCTTCAGTATTTGCAGCACATAGGCTCAGCAGTTGTGGCTCATTGGCTTAGTTGCTCTGAGGCATGTGGGATTATCCTGGACCAGGGATTGAACCCATGTCTCTTGTGTTGGCAGGTGGATTCTTTACCACTGAGCCTTCAGAGAAGTCCTGATAAAATCTTTGATTTCTAGCTGTTTATGTTATTGCAGTTCCGTTGCAGTGTAACAAATCAAATGGTGGTCTCTAGACTTACCAAATCCAAGGATTAAAAGTATGTATAATGTCACTTCGGAGAAGGAAATGGCAACCCACTCCAGTACTCTTGCCTGGAAAATCCCATAGATGGAGGAGCCTGGTAGGCCAGTCCATGGGGTTGTGAAGAGTCAGACATGACTGAGCAACTTCACTTTCCCTTTTCACTTTCATGCATTGGAGAAGGAAATGGCAACCCACTCCAGTGTTCTTGCCTGGAGAATCCCAGGGACGGGGGACCCTGGTGGGCTGCCGTCTACGGGGTCGCACAGAGTTAGACATGACTGATGCCACTTAGCAACAGCAGCAGCCTAATGTCACTTAAAAAAAAAAAACCTGCAATACATCCAAGGGTGTAAATAATTGAAAGTTTTGAAAGTAATTAAGTTTTTAAAATAATTTTTTATTCTCTTCTGCTTTATTAAGATATAATTGACCTATACCACTGTGTAAGTTTAAGGTGATGTACAATGTGATGATTTGATTTGCATATGTATTATGAAATGTTTACCTCGGTAAGAAAAAGTAATTAAGGTTTTAAATAAGTTTGTAAATGACCATTATGTGTAAAAAATCAAGACTGGTGGTGTTTCTCAGTTTTTTTTTTTTTCTGCTGTGAAACCATCTATTCATCTTGGCCTGCTTAACATACACCTGTATACTCAGAAGATAGAAACCTCAAAATAGAAAAATGAAGTACATTTTAAAGACCATATGCACACACATGAGAAACTTTTTAGCGTCAATAATATTAAATGCTAATTCAAGTATTTATTAAATATCCACTATGTATCTAAGAGAATTTCTATGAAACAGAAATACTTCTTACATTATACTTTTTTCCTTCAATTTTCTAATGTTATTGGTAGAATTTTAGAGCTAGAAGGGACTATAGAGACTCTTGTTTCTGAACAGTCAAATAAGGAAGTGTCTAGAAAGAGAAAGGAATGTCATTGCTAAACTCATTTCACATAGGCAATACCTGAAGTCTTTTTTTTAGTTCTCATGGTACATTTTTATGTTGGGGCCATGCATAGTTTTTCCTAATACCTTTTTTTCCAATTATATTTCAATGTAGACATTTGTGAATTTAATATGGAATATTGGTGAAATCCCAAATACTAGGCTTATTTTCAGAAAACCTAGCACAGAAACATAGAATGGGAGTTCAAGATTATGGACCTGGGGTGTTTTTCTTTTCTCCCTTTGAATCTGGAGCACCTTCATGATTACAATTTCCTACTCACTTGACTTACATCATACTTGACATTTTAAATACTGACACTAGAACTTACATTAGTTTAGATGGGTACTATGCCATATAGTGGAGAAGGCAATGGCAACTCACTCCAGTACACTTGCCTGGAAAATCCCATGGACGGAGGAGCCTGGTAGGCTGCAGTTCATGGGGTCGCTAAGAGTCAGACACAACTGAGTGACTTCACTTTCGCTTTTCACTTTCATGCATTGGAGAAGGAAATGGCAACCCACTCCAGTGTTCTTCCTGGAGAATCCCAGGGACGGGGGAGCCTGGTGGGCTGCCATCTATGGGGTTGCACACGGACATGACTGAAGCGACTTAGCAGCAGCAGCAGCAGTATGCCATACAGGCTTTTCTTGAGGTGACC